TACATACATACATACATACATCTGAGCATATGACTGTTAAAGACATTATGATTATTCATATTCGTATTGCTATTACTCATAATGCTACTATTATTACTATTATTCTTGCATGGATTACACTGTTTAAGACTTGTATACTAATTTTTCTATTGATGATAAGGGCTGCCTCCTCCCGCACCAGCTTTCTCGGAGGAGGAGAGGCCTGCCAAGAATCGGTCGAGGCGCTGCTTCCAATTTTTTCTGAGACGGTTGGGCACAGTCTACCATCATACTTATAGTCTAGCTATAGTCCAGTTACACTGGCTATAAATTTTAAAGAGGAGCCCCCAACAATCGCACTGGTAACGATATTCAGGGGGGAAGATTCCCGACTTACGAGTAGTTTGGGAACCTATATGGATAGTTCTCTGAATTAGGGTCCCTTTTCAGGTCCCCAAAATTGCACAGCACCCTTAAAGACAGGACTCTAAAAAGGATCCTAATTTAGAGAACTACCCACCATGAAACATGGCACAAAAAATTGTCTTCTTTTGCAACTGTTATAACTGGAGTATAATTTCCGCATCAGATAGTACTTACGTGAACCCGTTGATCCCGGCAACACCTACAACTCAAGCCCCGAAAGTGTCAAATCCCTGCACTCGCGCAGTGCCGGCCTGCTTTCGGCCCGACCGGCTCGGTGTAAAGCGGCCTAGTGTAAAGCTTTAGGTTTAGGGTTTAGGGTCTTCTTTCTTAGCATCCAGGGTTGAGGCTCTGATCTTGGGTACGCATGACCGGGGATACTGCACACGGCCGACTGGGACTACGAGCGACCATCACTCGCGCTTGGCGCATCTTGAGCTTCAACGCACCACTGCAATGAGGGGCCCTCACCCCTGCCCACCCGAAGCCTAGAGCCTGCTTCTCAGCTGCTTCTCAAATCAACAGACCCGTTAAAGCTAAACCCGACATCCGGCTACCAATAACCGTGCGGATACTGAAGCCCTAAACCCAAACGATTAGGACACCGAAGAACTGCAAGAAGCCCAACGAAACCTACTGTTGCTGCTGCAACGAACGATTCCAATCATGTCTTTAGCAGCACTATGCCTACTGCTGCTGCTACAGCTACTAAAGTGATGATGATGGTGCTGCTGCTGGTGATGGTGGTTGTGATGATGACAACGATGATGGAACGATGATAATGATGATGACGGAGGTGATGAGGACGACGATGTTGGTGATCATTCCGAGTATGATACATGGAAACACATTTGGTCGCCAGCCATGCTGTTGGTGTTGTTGGCTATACGAAAACATCACTACAAATCTGATTGGAGTTGTCGCTGTTGCTGTTGTCGCCATTGCTGCTGATGTTGCCGTCGCTGCTACTGTGGCTGTTAGTGCTGCTGCAGGTGGTGGAGGCGGTGCGCTGCTACCCTCAATACTCTGAGTTATCTAAACTCTGAAGAGAAAGCACAGTGCTACTGCGCATAGCACACCTGAACCATGATCAAACATGCATGTATCTCTTCTTTACGATCACGTGCAGAGGTTGTCGTCCCCGTACATGGGCGGTACCGTTTATGTTTTTGAGCTTCGTCCTCGAGCACCATCGGCAAGCCAAGGACGCGGCATTATGTATGGCGCTCCGGTGGCTTTGTCGCGGTACCTTTCGGAAGCCACGGAGTGCGCAATCTAGACCGCAGGGTTCTGGGTCTGACTCTAGACAACCGCCACCGGCATCAGGTCTGAGACTCATCTACAGTGGTGCCAACCCAAATCGAGTGATAGATACGCGCTTGCGATCGCGTCTGCCAGCTTATGCATCTTAGAGGTAGTCGGTGGTGGCTAGGCCGTGTGATTGTCAAAGCTTGCTTTGCTTCATAAACAATAGCTATCTTCTGAGGGCTCGGAGTGGCAGTGATCAGAGCAGCCGACCAATCCAGGACAGTCAAGCGTGCACAAGGCCCCATCTAGGCCGGGCAACAAACAAGAATTTCTAACCGTGTCCGAAACGAACGAGCAGATTGACACTGCAGGTGACGCCGCTGTGCGAAGAGACCCTAGGCCAGCTCATGGCGCACAAGCTGACAAAAGAACCTGCCGACTTCACGACGCTGGACCGAAAAACCGAACTGCAACTGCTGCGCAAAGCCCGTAAGCCCTAAACCCTGAGCTTGAAGCCCAAAGCTCTGAGCCAGGACGCCGGAGCATGCCCGAAGACAGAGACCCTGAAGCCCACAAAACATCATCTCACGCTCGGTTCCAGCCATTCGGGTTTATGGCTTGCAGCCCATATTAATTAGATCTGCATATATATATATATATACATGAATATGAAAACATATATAAATATATATATATATATATATGTATATGTAAGTAAAAAGCATATATATATATATATATATATGCATATATGAATATACATATATATATATAACTATCTACCTATCTATCTATCGATCTATCTAAAGCCTGAATCCCAAAAACGACTTAGTAAATCGCTACTCCGCTCTAGCAATGCAGGCGAAGGCACATCGGGACGCCACACGTCACCTGGCTTCCACCCTCAGCTCCGGAGGAGATGCCGCAAGTCATGTGCCTTGGCTTTGGGGGGGCAGATTAAGGGTCTAGGGTTTAGGGTTTAACGACTATAGAGTTTAGGGTTTAGGGTTTAGGGTTTAGGGTTTAGGGCCTATAGGGCTGAGGACCCAAGATCTTGCTCATGGATGTAGCTGGATATTTTTTGGGGGATCTGGCACGACAATGGCTGTGACCCCTGTGAGGCAAGAGTGGTTGAAACCTCCATGGGCTCGTGGAGCAATTCTCGGGAATGCCACATTTCGCCACTTCTCGTATGTCGACCTGGCAAGCATCCCAAAAAAAAATAGGCCCTAAAATCCGAATCACATTTACCCTAAGACCCTATCTGGACTCGACCCTAACTAGAGACACTAACCCCCGAAGCTGAAAGCCTTCATGTCACCGTTATCGCGAAGGCGCGACAGATGCTCGGACTTCTCCTCCATGTCATCATCTTCAGCCGCCTCTTCTTCCTTCATGGACATATCCTGCCAGTTGTAGGTATTCAGGGCTTAAGGTTTAGGGTTTACTAAATTTACGAGCTTAGGATTTAGCGTTTTTTATCTACGATAGTTCCGTGCCAGCTTGCGTTCAGCGTCTAGGGCCAGGGAGGGTTAGCGACTCAACAGGAGGATCTGATTTCGAGTTGTTAACTTCTGAAAGTCATTACCATCATTGTTCTGCTTCTTAGTATGATTGTTGCTATTGTTATTGCTAGCGTTATTAGTTATTAGTATTGCTACTAAGCTTACTATCACTGTTCTTGTAATTATTATCTGTGTAGTATTATTATGACCACTATTCGTATCACCTGTGTGATTAGTCTATTCTCGGTCTTCGTCTTAGTATTACCATTACAATGCTACTTGTGTTCACTAATATGGCTATTACTCGTATTCTTACTAGCTGTAGTAAGAACAAACAACAACAATAATAGACTTTTTGTTGTTGTTTTTACTATCGTTATTACTATGCTTGCTACTTTCATTCCTGGTTTCCGGATACTCTTACATTAGTAGTAGTAGTAGTAGTAGTAGTAGTAGTAGCAGTAGTAGCAGTCCTAGTAGTCCTAGTAGTCCTAGTAGTCCTAGTAGTCCTAGTAGTCCTAGTAGTCCTAGTAGTCCTAGTAGTCCTAGTAGTCTTAGTAGTCCTAGTAGTCCTAGTAGTC